ACAACACTGACTCCTAAGTTTTTAACTTTCAAATGTAATTAAATTTTCAAAGTTATTCTTATACTTCACACATATATAGACCACGCCTTAGAACTACATAACAAAAAAAATGCTGTATTATTTGTAAATTACTACGATTTAAAAAAAAATTAATTAAGCCATCAATTGATAAAAAAAACGCTTCTTCTCCTACTCCATGCCCATTATTTGATTTCTTATTATCCAAAGCACACTTAGATATAATATAAATAATTAGTTTAATTTTAAAAACCAATGAACACAGTAACACACCACATCACACACACAAATAGTATAATAAAAGAAAAAATTAAAAATAATGTAACTAAAGTATTTATTCTCCCTTAAAAATAAGAAATGCCAAATCATACCCATTGAACTGAACTTTTCAACTACTCAGTGACCAAAAATGAAAGAAACAATATTAGTCTATTGAACAAGTCAAAGCTTATCGGAAGTGTTAAAGCAATCCTCAACCATCCCCTGTGTAACAAATAACACAAACCCCCGAAACAAGGACACATAAAGGTTGGTAAGTAATAGCAATTGAAATGGTAGTATATATAACACATTATTAAGCAATTAAGTTTGGCCTAAGACCCAAGTAAGTAAACAATCAAATTAAAAAACACATTATTTACAACACATTAAAATAAGAGAGATGTCTACCATACATTAATATCTAACACAAAAAAAATTTTCCCTTCTATATAAAAACAAGAAAATCACAATATCAAACTATAAATGATTAATATAGGGTAAATTTAAAGAAGTAAAGAGTTCAAACGGCCACGAATTTCAATTTAAGTTAAATTCATCAAAACATCTTGTCCAGTTTCTTCCCAAATTCTACAATCTTCGTCTGGATGTCCAGTCCTAGCGGGAGGCCCATAAAATAATTTGTAGAAAGGGAAGAAAATATAATACAAATAATATCAAATTACAGATCACCAGAAGTCCAGTCTTAGGTTACACTATGAAGGTGTGAAGTATTTAAAGAAATCCAACAATCAAATTTAATAAACTCACTTCACAAAAAGGCAATATTGGCCAAAAATTACACTAGCTATAAAATTGTTTCTTAGAAAAAAAAAATTATAACAAAATATCTATTTATTGCTATTTGGTTTCTGGCGCCCCCAAGTATAGACCACAATAAACTTCCACTCATTTTTTATCATACAAAAATAAGATAATTCATTAAAAAATATGATTACTTACAATTCACACATCACACTCCCCTTTCAAAATATACAATTTTGTAATCATAATGAACGAAAAAAAAAGAGAGATTAAAAAAAGAAAATGCTTTATATAAGAATAAGGGTGCAAAAAAGAATAATAAAGTGGCTAAAAAAAATATTAGGAAGTTGATTTTTAAAGAAAACATTATGGAATCCATAATTCATTAATCCACTAATTAAAAAAAAAATATATTCATTTCTGTCACAAAATATAAAAGATTGAAATTATTAAATTTGAGAAAATAGACATATATTTTGTCCTAAAATATAAGTTGTTTGAGTATTTTGAGGAGAAATATATGAGTTTTTTCAAAATAAATATTAACAAACATAGTAAATAGATAATAGTAAATAATAAATAAATACTTTCACACTAATAGTTTTTGAGATTAAGAGAATGAATAATTTTGGTTAATTTACTTTCCTTGTAGACTTTGTTATAAATCTAAGATTAGAATTAAAAATCTCGTAATTCCCAATTAAAATAACCTTTGTAGTCATATACCTTTAAAATATGACGATGAATATTTTTGAGAGCAAGAAGGCAATATAAAACCTATAATACCTGACAAGTTACTAATACGTATAGAATACTCTTAATTTTATACTTTAAAACGTAAACCGATCCTTATTATTATTCTATTATAATTAAACATTGACACATTCTAGATAACCCCCTAAACAAATAACTCCCCAATAACTCTATAAGGAAAAAAAACTCGGATCAAGAACATCTTATTAGTTCAGGTAAAAATTCAAACTTTATAAATATATTATAATCCCTCATATGTATATTTTAATCTCTAACTACCTTTGTGGCTCCGTGTTCAACTTAAATCCCACATATTATCACATAAAATATCCATCTTATTTTTTTTAATTAACTAAGTTACAAAAACTATAATCAAACATTTGATTAAAATCAGAGTTTTCTTGAAAGCCTTAAAAAAAAAGGTTGATATCTCTCCCACATTTCAAAAAAAAAAAAAAAAACCATCATTACCAAACAAACTAAAATAAGAATTAAAAAAAGAAGAAGAAAGAAGACTATTCACCATCTTATCTCTTGATTTTTCAAACTATATGAGATCAATCTTGAACTTGCTGAGAGATTAAAATTTTACCATCTCATTGGAAGAAAATTTTCATATGGGTTAGGAAAGAGAAGACTTTGGCAACAATAGAAATATAGGTTTTGTTTTAGCATTTTAATTGCAATTTTAAATTGTAATGATAGATTATTAAATTTAGGTTGAAACGTTTAAGGAAGGTAGGAAGGTAGAAATGTGAAGAACTGAAATTTTGAATTTGAAGTTTAAAATTCTTAAAAGGCTTCATTCTACATGTGTAATATGTAATGCATGAAATGTTTGAAGAATTAGGCAATATTATATTTAAGGAATTAATTTATGATTCTTCAAAGGGAAGTTACTTTAAAAGGATAATTTTAATGAATTAAATTTTCATTCATTGAATGGGTGTTAAATAACACATGATTTTTTTAACAATTTTCAAATTATTAAAATTTCAAAAGTATCATATTTAATTTGAAGTTTAGACTACATACAAAAAAAATGCGTATATTTGTAAATTATGAAGATTTAAAAATTTAGACATTGTATGTTTTTCTATCATGGCATATTTGATTTCTATTAAAAAAAATAGAATATTTAATTTGAATTTTAAAAACCAATAACACACACACACACACACACACACACATATAATGAAAATCTAAAAAATGAACTAAAGTATTTAAATTTCTTATATGCCATAATTGAATGAATTTCATACTCATAAAAATGAAAGACAATTTATTATTGAAAAGTAAATTATGGAAGTGTTAAGAATCTCACATCTGTTAAATACCCAACCCGAAAAAGGACACATAAAGGTGGTAAGTAGCTAGCTAATTGGCTAGTACTAACCTTTTAGCATTAGTTGGCCTAAGCCCAAGTAAGTACATATTACACATTTTCACATCATGGGTTCTACCTCTTATCCAATTCCCCTCTACCCTTTCAACTTTGTAATATGGTATTAGAGTAGGTCCGGCCCGATTTCAATTAGTTATTCTCAATGTTGCGTTTCAATTCTCTCTCGTCTGGATGTCCAGTCCTAGCGAGGCCCATTCAATTTCAGAGGGAGAATTTCAAGTTTCAATCGTCAACCAGAAGTCCAGTCATGGTTGCACTTGAGGGGAAGTATTAAGAATCCAACATCAATTAAATATCCACTCACAAAGGGCATATGGCAAGTTAGCTAGCTAATTGTTTAGCATTTATCTTTTAGCATTGGTTGGGCCAAGTAAGCCCATATTACACATTTTTACATCATGATTTCTTAACTTTTACTCAATTCACCTCTACCCTTTCAATTTTGTAATAGCGAAAAAAAAGAGGATTAAAAAAAAGAGAAATGCTTAAAAACTTATCAAAAAAGATAAATCAAATGCTAAAATATTAGGAGTCTCACTTTTTAAGAAAACATATGGAATCCATAATCTTCCTATTAAAAAAAAATATTTCTTCTGTCACAAAATATAAGTTGTTTTTGTGTGATTATTTTGTCCTAAAATATAAGTTGTTTTGAGTATTTTGAGGAGAAATAAATGATGTTTTTTCCAATATTACCCTTGTTTAGATTAGTTACAATAAATACTTTCACAACTAATAGTTTTGAGATAAAGGATAATTTGGTTAATTACCCTTGAGTTTGTTATAATCTAAGAGAATTAACTGTTTCCTTAATCCTTGTGCAATAACCTTAAACGACTAATATTTTGAGACAAAGAAAGTATATACTGCAGTCTATGTTGTTTTAATATATACACTCCGATCCATAATATTTATTCTAATTAACATGCACACGGATCAAGAAATTTTAGTTAGTATAATTAAATTATAATTTTTTACTTTGTTTTTTTCTTAATACCTTAGTGCTCGTGTTCAATTAAAATAAAATTATCCATAATCAATTATTTTTAAAACTAATCAAACTATAATCAAACATTTGATTAAAATAGAGTTTTCTTGAAAGATTAAAGGTTGATATTTTCATTTTATTTATAGAAAGATTTAATTAAAAATAATGTAGTATTGTGTCTATTTAATTGACAAAGAATCATATAAATAAGGCTTAAATAGTAAAATTAAAATATTAGTCACTTCTAAAAGAGAAAATAAGAAAATAATTTAGGATAGATCAAAAAGGAAAATAGAATAAGAATTATGGGACTAATGAAGTATCTATGAAGAAGTAATATTAGAGAGAGACCTAAGGATTAATGTCCATATAATTGTACTTGCAAACATACACTAATATACTCATGTCCAGAATTAACCAAATAACATTAGCATATGGTGCTTAATTAATATATTATAACTCAAGATTGCTTGGTCTAGTGGTTAAAGCACACTAGATCTCATCATAGTAATCATAGATCGGGTCATGGAGTCAACATTTTGGGGAGGACTTTTAAACATAATAGTTCTCCAGTCCGAGAGGGTTTAGTCTCTCATCTAATCATTAAATGAGTTGTCAAAAAAGGAGAGGAAGAATTCAATTTGTAATTAGTATGATAATCCAAAGTTTAGTATCTTCATTTTGTTTATTTTCTTGGAAAGAGCTAACCAAATAAGATAAACAAGAGAAACATAACATTTGATTAACCAAAATAACAAAATCAAATTAACATATGAATTATTCCAAGATTACTTAATTTGAAGGAAACATAGATTAAACAGAGACTCACAAAATAATTAACACATGAAATAAAACAAATATAAAATTCAAATTGAGAAAGACTCGACAATAATAATCAATGGGAGAAATTATGATACCAAGGTTTAATAATATCATATAGCGTTCCTGTGTCGCTTCCACCGGCAAAAAGTCCATGCATCTCTGGTTCACTAGCTCCAATTGCAATAGCTGGAGGAGGCATCCTTAGTCCCATGCCATTTCCACCATTATAATTATCAATGTTACCCTGATAAGGCTGCAACCCTAACCCAAAAGAATGTCCACTTATAGAGTTAATATTAGCATGAATAGACTGTTGTCTCATCTGAAAATGATTTCCACCACCACCCATATTGATATTACTCGAGACGAGACCCAGGCTAAAAGTATTACCAGTGGACCCGGTAGGAAACCCCGTATCACCACCATTGTAGGTGATATTATAGGCATATGGGTGGTGGTTCATCATGTCATTCTTAGCACCACTACTACCAGCAAGATTATCATTGTTATTGTTAATAATATCAAGATACCATTGATCGCATATCATAGTATCTCTAGGATTACTATTTCTGATATCTCCATCCCCAACACCATTAGCACTAGCAACATCGGTTAATTGGTGGCCCGGTTCTTGCATAGTAGGGCCCTCATTAGGAAGTGGAAGAGGAGGAGAAAAAGAGGTTGTAGGTGGAAGAGGAGGAAATTGTTGAAAATATTCAACTCTTTTTCTTAAATCTTTCATTTTCTCTCCTAATAACCAAATCAAAACCTGCAACTCATTAAACTCAAAATCATCAGCTCCATTACCTTTATGAAGTTTATTTATTAGATAACTCATCTCAACGTCTCTATTCTTTCTTTGATTCTTTCTTGATTGTGCTTGCACTTTGACCACTCTTTCTTTCAGGTAACTTTCCTGATTCATCATCTTTTTGCTCCGTTCAATTTTCGGCATGTTTTGATATCTCATCAATAGTTGTTCCACCAATAGTCGTGACGGCCAAAACATTGGTTCAGTCTCATCTGGGCTATAGATGATAGCAAATGCACTAACACCACATAAGGTTGTTAGTTCACTCACTTTCTTCAATAATCCTATTCTCCTTTTTTTGAGATTTGCTTTTCTTAATGCATCATTCACTATCCAAACTAGCTTAACCTTCTTTCTTGTCATTTTTGCTTTTGCTTATTATTGCTAGCAACTCTTTCTCTTTTGTTCTATATTTAACTAGATTAAGGAATATATAGCAAAAAGGAGTGATGTATATGGAAATAGTTGTACACAAAAGTGATAGAGCGTATAGAGCTATCTATACACCTAATCAATCAAAATAGTTTTTTTTTTTTATTTGAATGAGGGTATTTTAATCATTCACTAACAAAGACAAATTATTAAAATTTATTTTAAAAACATTTATAGATTTGCTTGGTGTATTAATAGACTCATATACGAGATATATATAATTCTTATCTATATTATTATACTCAAATTTATGTGAGGGCCACTTAAAATATTGTTATTATTATTGGGGTAAAAATGGGAAAGGACATATGATATTTTCAAAACCAAATTAGATTTTTAATGGCCTTTTGCATTTAGATTAACAAATCTACCTGTTTGGATTCGAAGATAATTATATTTTGGTAAGTCAATTATAGTGCATTGTTGTATATGGTAAGATATTTCATTATTATCTAATGATATTATTCTAACAATTTAGGGTGGATCAATATGAAATATGCCACTAATTATTCAATGGGTAAATTTGTGAATGTGAATTTATATTTGTATATGCACATATAATATAAAAAAATTAAAAAGTGATCCTCAAGGCCAAAGCCAAAACTAATATTAAAAGATTTATTATTGCTCATATTTTCAGATTTTATTTCTATATCTAATTCTGAGTTATTATTATCACCATTATAGTGATTTTATCTGTGATATTTTATTATTTGGGCAGCTATGCAGAAAGACTTGCATATATCCTCTTTAACATAAGGAAAAAAATTGAAAATGATCAGTTCGAACTTATATAAAAACCATGAGGTTGAACAGTGGCTATGAATAGCCATCAAGCAGAGCAAATAATCGCCTATGGCAATATTTTATTCTTTGTCAACTCAATCAGATAGTTCAAATGAAGATTGTGTTTTTTAATTGTTTGATACGTGGTTTATTATTAGACTTCATATACAAACATATAGAAATATATTTATATTTATCACATATTTTACATATAGAAATATATTGATATGTATCCCTTATCTGTATATAGTTTCGTCTTAATGAAATTTCTATCTTTTGAAAAAACTAATATTAAAAAATTTATTATTTCCTTTAGAAACCTTAAATTCTTTTTTTAAAGATTATTTTGTAGAGAATAATGTTATTATAATGTTATAACTCCTGCAGATTTAGAATTATAATACAACTATGAACTACAAGTCCATGAGGGCTCCTAAAATGGAGATAATGACAAAAACAATGTTGTTTAAAAATTATTTATCTATCTGTCATGAAATTGAAATATTTACAAATCTATCGTTTGTACTATCATGGATGGAAAATTATTGCATTAAAGCTATAATGTCAATTGGTAGTTTTAGTGCAACACAATAAGCTACTTGTACTATTTAATAGTCAATGAAAATTATTCAAAAGAACGAATAATAATTTTTATGTTGTGAAGAATCCACCAAATGAAGTAATGGTTTCGCTATATATATATATTCATCTAACCTCGTTTGAGGCAACTTTCTTGATTCATCTGCATCATTCATTATCCAAACCAACTTAACCTTTCTTTTTATCATTTTTGCTTTTGCTAGCCATAGCTAATAACCTTTTCTCTTTTGCTCTATTATTAGTTAGATTAATGCTCATAAAGCAAGAAAGACTAATGCATATGAAAATAGTTCTACATGAAAGTAGAAAGAGTTACCTACATGCAGTATATGAGGCTATTTATACACCAAATCAATAAAAAAAAAAAAAAAACTTTTATAGTTCAAATGAGGGTATTTTTACCATCCATTAGACAAAAAAAGATAAATCATTAATTTTTATAAAAGAAACCATTTATAGATTTGTTTGGTGTATGGATGAGTCCATCCATTGGGTGTAGGCACTTCGTATCTATAAAAAGTGTATATTATACTGAAATTTATGTGAGGGACATTTAAATTATTATTATTATTATTATTATTATTATTATTATTAGCATAAAAATGGGAAAGTACTAATGATATTTTGAAAAGTAAATTGGATGTTTAATAGCCTTATGCATTTAAAAAATCTAATAAAAGAATCTAATCAATTAGGGTTAGCCGTCTCTCTCTTGCTCTCTCGGTATAATTTTTTAGATTTTATTTTCTGAATCACTGTCGACAGTCTTCTTTGGTCGGCAGTGGTTTCTTTTCGTTCCTTTCTATCGTCTTTCTTTATTTCTTTCTAATAATTTCCAAACCTATGATCGTTTGGAATACAAATTGAATTTAGTCTCTCGGATCTGTAATAGTTGATAGATCTTGAGTGTTTTTAGTACTCTTTTAGTGGTATTATTAATTTCTCTCCTTTCATGAGGTTATTTCTTATTATTGAAGAGTTTTTACGTGGATCTTTTATTTCCCTTACAGTTCGAAATAGAAGATGTAAGGGAAATAAAAGATGAATTATTGGTTGCTTGTAGTTGGAGACTTCAGATTTTCAAATTCGGATGAGTTTTCTTTTATCAATAGAGCCTGGTAGTGCGACTTATTCCTCCATTTTAAATTTTGATATATTAAACTCTTTTATGTGTGTCAATTGTAACAAGATTTTGAAAAAATAATGTTTGGGACAATATTGCAGAAAGTTTATTTTGTCATTTTATTTGAAAATAGACTAGTTTTTACCCGAAAGATTAACCTCTTCTACTAAGATCATCTCTAAATAGAAGATTTCAATTTTCTATATTTGTGTTTCTTAATCTTTTGGAATATTACGATGTTCTCAACTTATATTCATTATTAATGAATTATCAAATTTTCAAAAAAAAAAAAAAATGTAATTGTTTATATTGGAATGTAACTGTATTTTGGTAAGTGAGGTATAGTTATTTGCTATATAAGGTAATATATTTAATTATTATTAAATGATATTATTCTAACAATTTGTGGCGCACCAATATGGTACATGCCACTTGTTATTTAAGGTGTGAATTTGTGCCATATGTGAATTTATATTTATATGTATAACTATAAGCCCATATCGGCAATCTGTAACGAGGAAAATAGTTTGTTGGTTCAAATAAAAATATTTTTGACCATTCACTGAAAAAAAAAAGTAATTAAAAAAAATGTTTACAAATTTACTTGGTGTATAATGTATGGATGGGTCCATATATCTTGTATAAGCAAATTCTTATGTATAAATAATTCTTATATGTGAAAAATAGTATATCTTATACTCAAATTTATGTGAAGCTACTAAAAAATATATTATTATTATTATTAGGGTAAAAATAGAAAAAGACGAATTGTATTTTCAAAATCAAGTTGGATTTTTAATAGGATTTTGCATTTTAGTTAACAAATCTACTATTTTAGATTTAAATGTAATGATATTTTGGCAAGTGAATTATATTCCTTTGTTGTATGCAATAAGATTTTTATTATTCTAGTAATTTAGGGAGGATCAATAAGATATTTGCCACTTGTTATTCAAAATGTGAATTTGTGCCGTACATAAATTTTTATATAGATATAATGTAAAAAATAAAATAAAATGTGGTCCTTAACGAGCCGAAGCCTAACCAAATATTAAACAATTTATAATTTCCTTTAGAAGTTTTAAATTCTTTCATTTTTAGATTTTTTTTTCGGAGAATTATATTATTATAGTGCTATAATTCAAGCTACCAAACCATTAAGAAAACTCTTAATTTTATGACTTGTTTTAATTCTATCTTAAATCTAACTTTCTTTTTCAAGTACTCCGAACTTCACATTCGTTACAATAGCACTCCAAATTCAAATTTTACCAGATTTAATGAATAAAAATTTATTTTTGTGGGATGTACAAATCTCTCTCACGGTCAAATTAACGCAAGGAATGGGTTAACCTCAGACATATTATTTCGAACTTCTCTCAACCCATCGCACGACTCCATCCCCTATATCCCCGATCACATTTTCGGTTATATCCAGTAAAAATAAACCAACAATCATCTTCTCATTCTCACAATTGTAACCCTTGATCAATTTCACTATTTAATCAATTTTCCTATGTGAAACGAAGAGAAGAAATTTTTGCATAAAATTTCACTTTAACTTTCGCGCCAAAAATCGGTGAGATAAGGATCAGTGAGATAGGATCGGTCTCCTTCTTCGCTCCTCTCTAGTGTTGATATGAATCAATTTTGAATTGCATACGGCTGTATGTTTTATAAAATTGATTTGACAATTGGATTTATCTTTTTTTTTTTCAGTATTATATTTCTCTAAAGTAGTATTTATTTATTAATTTCTCTATTTGAAATGATGTGTTTTGGGTTAATCCAATCCTTGGGTTAACTTGACCATGAGAGAAATTGTGGATTCCACAAAAAAAATATTTTTTATTCACTGAATCGAGTAGAATTTAAATCTGGAATATTATTGTAACTCATGTTCAAGTTCGGTATACCTAAAGAAGAAAGTTGATTCAGGGTAGAATTAAAACAATTCGCAAGCTGAGGATTTTTTTTAATGGTTCGGCTTAATTTAAGCAGATTTACAATTTAATACAACTACAAACTATAAGCTCATAAGGATAGTCCATAACAGAGACAACGTAAAAAAAAACATTGTTTTAAATTTGAAACTATTTAAAAATTTAATGTTTGTCCTCTGTTTTTTCAGGTAACTTTCTTGATTCATCTGCATCATCCTTGTCATTCTTGTTTTGACTTGCTATAACTAGAGCTAAAAGTGAAAGTGTTATCTAAAATTAATGTATGGAGCCATTTGTATACCAAATAAACCAAAAATAGTTTATTGATTTAAATGAAGATATCTTTGACCATTCACTAAAAAAAAATAACACAGTAAAATTTTCTTAGAAAAATATATTATAGATTTACTTAGTATATGGGTATGCTCATATAATCGGAGTAGGCAATTCTTATCCATAAAAGTCTATATTATACTCAAATTTATTGAGAGTCACTAAAAAAATATAATAATTATTATTAGGGTAAGATA